TGAAAGGTCTTTCAGATTTTCTTCCTAAATTGTTAAAAATCAGCCAGCCAGCCAACCAACCAATATACCTTTGGGACTTTTTTTTGATACAGAGTCTTACTCTGTCACTCTGGGTAGAGTGTAGTGGCATCATCGTAGCTCACTACAACCTCAAACTCCTAGGCTCAAGTGACCCTCCTGCCTCAGCCTCCGGAGTAGCTGGGACTATAGGTGGGCATTACCAACCACCTGGCTATTTTTTCTATTTTTGGTAGAGATGGGGTCTCGCTCTTGTTCAGGCTGGTCTCAAACTCCTGACCTCAAGCGACCCTCCCACCTTGACCTTCTAGAGTGCTAGGATTATAGGCATGAGCCACCCCACCTAGTCAGGGACTTACTTTTGCCAAAAGCAAAGGCTGGTAGATCTGCCTCACCTTCTGTTTGCTTCAGCTGCTGATATCAACATATACCAATGAGTAATTTCAATCAGATCACTGGTCTGAATTCACTATGTAATTTCTGGAAAGGTTAACTAAATTTACAACAATAATACATTTGGGTGCATGTTTTAGATTTAGTAAACTAGAAGGCGTTGACACAGTGTGTGTTTTAAGTTATGAAAATTTTAAAACTGGGTTGAAAGTGGTCTAAATGAAGATACAATGGTAATTACTGTTATTAAGGCAATTTTCAAGGCCTCTGGGCCAAATGGTCAAATCTTGAATCAGCTAATCATTGAAACTTGACTGTGCAGATAGTTGTTACTCAAAACTATAAATTGTCTCTCACATCCTCATAAATACAGGGATAACTCTGAAATAGAACGCTCTGAAAACAGCTTCAGAAAATGTATTTTAAAAGTCTCCCCCATGGCCGGGCGCGGTGGCTCACGCCTGTAATCCTAGCACTCTGGGAGGCCGAAATCGGGTGGATTGTTTGAGCTCAGGAGTTCTGAGACCAGCCTGAGCAAGAGCGAGACCCCGTCTCTACTAAAATTAGAAAGAAATTAATCGGACAACTAAAAATACATAGAAAAAATTAGCCGGGCATGGTGGCGCATGCCTGTAGTCCCAGCTACTCGGGAGGCTGAGGCAGAAGGATTGCTTGAGCCCAGGAGTTTGAGGTTGCTGTGAGCTAGGCTAACGCCACGGCACTCACTCTAGCCAGGGCAACAAAGTGAGATTCTGTCTCAAAAAAAAAAAGTCTCTCCCATGAACAGTCCTTAATAACTAAGGTCCAATTAACAAGAATAAACTTCTTGGTCACCACTAAGGAATTAACAAAAAAGGACTTTTCTGATTCTTTTCTGATTTATAGAAAGCATAAGAAAGGCCGGGCATGGTGGCTCACACCTGTAATCCTAACACTCTGGGAGGCTGAGGCGGGTGGATCCTTTGAGCTCAGTAGTTTGAGACCAGCTTGAGCAAGAGTGAGACCCCATCTCTGCTAAAAATAGAAAGAAATTAGCCTGACAACTAAAAATATACAGAAAAAATTAGCTGGGCATGGGGGCATATGCCTGTAGTCCCAGCTACTCGGGAGGCTGGGGCAGAAGGATCGATTGAGCCCAGGAGTTTGAGGTTGCTGTGAGCTAGGCTGACGGCACAGCACTCTAGCCGGGCAACAAAGTGAGACTCTGTCTCAACAAAAAAAAAAAAAAAAAAAAGAAAAGCATAAGATACCCTTAGTGACATAATAGTCATGCATTGCTTAACAACAAGGATTCCCACCTGAGAAATGGGTCAATTTCATTGTTGTGCAAACAGAGTGTTCTTGCACAAACCTAGATGGTATAGCCTATTGCTCCTATGCTACAAACCTGCACAGCACGCTACTATACCGAAGACTGCAGACAATTATAACACAATGGTAAGTATCAGTGTATCTGAACACATTTCAAATGTAAAAAAAAAAAAAAAAAAAAGGCACACTAAAATATGGTATAAAAAAATGGTACACCTGTACAGAGCACTTACCATGAATGGAGCCTGTAGGACTAGAAGTTGCTCTGGGTGAGTGGGTGAGTGGTGACTGAATGTGAAGGCCTAGGACATTACTGTACACTACTATAAATTTAAGCTACACGAAATAATACTTTTCTATGATCTCATTACAATCTTATGGCACCATCATAGTATGTTGCAGTCCATCATTGATGGAAACCTTATGCAGTATGCAACTGTACTGAGACTTGGCCAAACTCCTCAAAAAACAGGCCTCTTTAAATGAAAAATAAAAATAATGGGGAAAATAAAGGGAATGAAGTACTCCTAGCCACAAACTGAATTCTTGCCTCAAGAATTCCAGAATTCTCATTTCCATGTTTTCAAGACAAGAGAAACCTAATGCAGTATATACTTTGTGAAGCTGAGAATGATGAAAAATAGGCTCGAAATGTTCAAAGAATCTGACAGCCAAAGTTTCTGGAGACATAAAAAAAAATAACTGATATGCTTTCTACAATCCAGTGTTTCTGTAAAAGTGGCTTACCAGGCCACAGAAAATATCTTGTTACAGATACTTATCTACAATAAAAATAAGTAATAATGATAACAAATAATGAAGATTATTTACTAAGTGGTTATGTGCTGGCACATACACTATGCATAGACGAGGAAACTAGAAGTTAACTAAATTTGCCTGTCAAGAAAGTAGAGTATTAGGACCCAAGTCCCCCTGACCTTAAGCCCAAGAATGCTCTTACAAGCTGTGTTATACTGCCTCCTACTGGTAATCAGAAGCTGCAGGGCAACGAAAAAATTGAACTTCCCCAAAACGAATAAAATAGATCAGGAACCTGACACTCATTAAGACAAAGGGATATGTAGGTGGTACCTGGGGTTGATAGCAAGATACAGCCCCAAACTAGTTAAAGTTATTATAATGAAACTAAAATGATTAACATTAATTCAAAGTGGAAACACCCAAAATCCAATCAAGGACACCAATACAAAGCAGTTTAGTAAGTGATGGTATACAAACATGACTGACTAAATTGTATTGTCCTCAATCTAATGAGAATGTTCTAAAGAAAGGAGATGGCCTGCAGATTATATTAAAAGGGAATTTCAAGGAGGAAAAGGGGAAGAGAGGCATAGTTCAGAGGTCAAGTTTGGAAAAGGTTTTACCTAGGAATTCCGTGATCCAGATATATGCCTAGGGGAGAAGTATACACCCCACCTAAGTCTGCCTTAAGGTTATCCAACTAATTCCCCTTCCTCTGATTTCAGGTTCACTAAGCAGCTAACTATAATCTGCATTCTCACTCAGATTTGCCTACAGGGAGAGACTATGCTGATAAGAGGAGTAACTGGTCCACAGTAGATTAAGAAAATTCATTCCAATTGTGTTTTTAAAATTTTCTAAATAACGAACCTACTATTACTTGGAAAATTAAAAACTTTCATTTTCACAAGTCCCCCACACCTCCATCATCTTTATAAATAACTCCAGGAATGTTACTTAACCATTTAAAGTCTTAGATTCCTCTTCTGTAAAATGGGAACAAAAATATTTTCCAGAGTAAACCAAATGTGTTTGGCACACAGAAGACAAGGAAATGTTAGCTCTATCTCACTCCACTGCCCAAGCTCACAAAGCTAGTAATTGCAGAAAGCTGAGATCTGAACCCAGATTTACTACAAACCCATTCCTTTTCCATTACGACATTCCTTACAGGTACTTAGTCTCAGTTGTCGCCCAGACTCTTAAGACTTAGGACAATTTACTTAACTTTTCTGGGCCCTGTATCTTTAAGTGACCTTCCTTGTAGGGCTTAGGCAACTAAAATTTATGCAAAACAAAAAAAACTACTGCATTGTCCACTGGGAAAAAATAACCCTGTACTTTAAAGTTAAAGCCCTGACTTCTGAGAAACATGGGTGCTTTATCTGTTGGGTTACTGGTGTGCTTAATTAACTCCAGTATAAGTGTGCTGAACAGCAGGATCACTCCAATAAACACAGAGACTAATACTTGAGTTAACTTTCTAAAATCAGTGACTGGCTATCGATACAAAAGAATGAATTCCATCTACCACCACAGGTAGTCTGAAAGTCTTAAAAAGGACTGATCAACATCTGTTTGGCTTGAAAAGATATCAAAATGGTAAGGCTACTATCTTTAGACTAGAAATGTTAATACAAGGACTAAGAACTAAAGTATAACTTACTTGTTTTGGAAGTAAGGACTTGGGATTTTCAGAGTTTGGTAAATAAATTCCCTATCAGTCCAAATCCACTACTTGATGCAAATTAACTTCACATTAAGCATTTCTAATGCTAAGTTTAAAGTAGTTAATGTAAACTGCATTTATAAGCTGTGAAAAGGAACGATATAAAAAAAATCTCAGCACAGAAATCCGGGTAGAAGTAAAACAAGCAAAACGACGATAATTTAGCAAAAGCAAGCCCTGGTAATAAAGTTCAACAAGTTCAACACTGATTAATTTAGGAAAATTATTCGCAAGAGAAAGGAGTTCCAAATAGCTTCCTCTGTATTTACATACTGCTCCCATATTTCACATTATCTTGACCCGACATAAAGAATTTTTTCGGCTGTTTTCCCGAAAGGGGTAGCGTTAAAGGTTAAGGAAATTGTTTAATCCATTCTTCAAAGAGTTCCCAGATTTGACTTCCACCAGCACATTAAACATCTATTAACATAAACCAGCTTCTCTAAAATCACAGCTAATAAAATGATTGACCGCAAGTCAACCTTTTAGGTTAAAAACTTCAACCTCACTTTCTTTCTGATTCAATCTGATAAGCAAGGAAATCTGAGTCATAAAATAAAACATATTCAGCGCTACGATTAGAAAATTGTCATTCCACCCCCTTCCCCCGACACATACACAACTTTTGAAAACTTGTTCCCAGGCTTTCAAAACCCCCACACTTAAGCTCCCTGCACCTCCCAACTGGAACGATGCCTTCACCCAGGAAAATGGTTGTGGTTTTTTTTTTTTTTGCTGCTAAACCTTTCCAAAAGATCTCAAGAAGTAGGAGCAGGATATACTGTACCTGGGCGTTGGCTTCGTGGAGTTTGTGCTCGGTAGAGACGTGGTGCCTCAACAGAAGGGTTTTCTTGTAGTTGCGGGTCCCTCGCGAAAGCTCATCATGCCCCACTTGGGGAAGGTCCACGCTCCCCCCATCCGCAGGGGTCTTTTGGCACCAGCCGCAAGACATAAGGCCAGTATCCTTGGAATAACGCAGCCAGGGAAAGTCCTTGAGCCAGGAGGTCTGGAAGGAGCACTGTAGCTTCTGCATTAAAGACTTGGGCCGCGCGAGCGGGAAGTGCTGGACAATCTCTCCTTCGCCAGCTCCCACACCGCTGCCCTCCACTTCGTCCCCGCCATCGCCGCCCGACCGCCTGCTGCTGCTGCAGCTGCCGCCTTCCGCCCCGCTGCCGTCGCCCAAGCTCGCCCCCTCCTCCTCGTCTTCGGTGCTGTCGCTCAGGGACGCGCCGTCCTGCATCAACTCCTTCCCCTCCAGCGCGTCCAACTCCAGATCCACAGCCGCCGGCCCTCGCCCATTGAAATGCCTCAGGGGCCACGCCGAGGTCTCCGGGCGGCCGCGGCTACTGCCATTGTTGCCGAGACCCCCGCCGCCGCCGCCTCCTCGGAAGGCCAGAGTCCGACGGTTCCTTTCCGCTAACAGGGGGCCCCCAGCGCCACCGCCGCCCAGCGAGGTGGGGCCGCCCGAGTCTTGCGGCAGCAGCAACTCCCTGGTTTCCTCGGCGGCCGCCCCAGCGGAGGCCTCCAGGTCTTGGGGCTCCAGGCCCTCCAATTCCACTTCCTCGTCGGCCCCCCGCCCATTGGGCTGCTGAAGCGCTGGCGGCGCTGCCGGCGGGGGCTGTCTTGGCTGGGGCTGCTGAGGCCAAGCTGAGGCCTCCCCGCCAGCGTTATTGTTCGTGGAGCCGCCGCCGCTAGAGGTGACCAACCCGCCTCCTCGGAACGCCAGCGTCCTGCGGTTCATCTCACTGAACGACATGGCGCGCGCCGCCGCCCGGTGCCCCGGCTCGAGCGCGGCCTCGGGCCGTGTCCCGCGCGCTCCCCGCGGCTCCCCCTCCGTCTCGCCCCTGCCCCCGCCCCCGGCGTTCCGGTCTCGCGGGGCTGGGGCTCGGCCTCGCCCTCCCGCCCGGCCGCCCGGCTCGCGCTCGCTCCCGGGGCTGCCGCACGCGTCCGTTGCTGCTGCCGCCGCCACCGCGGCCGGGCCGCCGCCTCCGACCGCTCTCCTCGTCCTCCACCCCCGCCCCGCTACGCTCCGAGCAGCGTCCCGCGCGGAGAACGGGGCGGGCGGCGGAGAGGTGAGAAGCGAGCCCGGGTCGCGTGGGGCCTTCGAAGTTGAGAGGCGGAGTGCGGGGGTCCCTCCGCTGCCCCCGCTTTAAAGCCGCGCGCACACACCGACCCTCCAAACAGATATCCTTCCTCCGGCGCGCCGACGAGTCCCGACGCCACCGCGGGTTTCAGAGGCGCTGTGGGCGAGAGGCACGTTAAACTGCTGGGCTCCGCCACATAACGAACCGACAATAAAGCCGGCGGAGCGTTTCCGTCCGACCAGGCCCTGGCGGAGGTCGAATGGCAAATGAACAACGGACCGTGCGCCCACAATGCACCGGGGTAGCAGTAACCGCTGGAGGGGGAAAGGGTGGGGGCCGGGCTGGGGGAGGGGGGCTGGGCTTGGGGCTGGGCTGGGGTGGGGTGGGGGCGCCAGGGGACCGGGAAAGGGGCTGGGCCGCGCCTCCGGCCTGGGGGCGGGGGTGCGGCCGCAGGGAAGGAAGTCGGCGGAGGGGCGGGGGACAAAAGGACAGGCGGCTGGCCGGGGGTCTCAGGGAGGGGGCGGGCGTGTGCGGCCGCGGCCGGGCTACGCGGAGGACAAACAGCTGGCGAGTGTCAGGGTCTGGCCGCCTCCCCGCTGCCCACACGCACCTACCCGTGCCCGGGACGCACATTTTCCTTCTCTCGCCACGAGTTCACCTGGGACTTTGCAAATAACTGTGCGGTGGGAGCTGCGCTCCAGCCTTGTCATTTGCTGGAGGTGGGTGGCGGTGCCCAAGGAAGTGAACTTATTTTGTTCCTTCACAAAGACTGGACCAGGCGGTGCCTTTCACGCAGGAGGTTACAACCACCGACACCTCCTCCTCTGATGCGTTGTGCGAGGCAGCACCTCACGTCCAAGGCAATAATCATTTCACAGAAAATGCACCGCCCCGAGTGTCTTATTGCTGTGATGAAATGGAAATTTAAATAAAAGGTCGAACACGTGCGTTCACTGGGAAGTATTGACATGGGTGTTACATCACCAGCAGCCAATCAGATAACTCCAGTCGTGTTTATACTTCTACAACCACCTTGTGAGTATTACAGTATGTCATAACGTTATAAATATTAGGCAGGGTTTTCCCCAGAAGCGGGGAGGAGTCTGCTTATACGGATGTTGTGTGCAGCTCCGAAGATTATGGGTTTAAAGACAAGAACTAATTTTTGAGACTTTTTAAAACTGTTGACATTGCATATGGAATTTAGATTGATTAGAACAGAATGAGCCGGAAATGAAAATCCCATAATTATAATCTTAGTCGAGTTTTTCAGAAAAAGGGTTGTATTAAATATATCAAAAAGTTATACTTTATAGAACTTTCGTTTTAAAATTTTTCATGTACTAAATTTAGCAAATACTAACGTATTTAGACTCATTTACAAATTTACAATGTGAGGTAAATCTTAAGTTACTTTTGTTCAAGCCTATTTCAGGTAAAAAAAGATGTCAAACTATGGAGGGGCTTTTTACTCTTTTAAGAAATATATTTATTAGAATATATTCTAATCACACTAATATAAAGTATGTTCAAGATAATTGTTGAATTTAAAAAGTATATTTATAGGGCAGGGTAGTTTTTTTACATTAAAACATATGTGCATAGAAAAAGTGAGAAATATATTAATACAGGAACTCTTTACAGTTATAGATTATCTAATGGGAAAACTTATGTTAGAGGCTTGAACCTCCTACATAATATATTAATGTAAGATTATATGTTTTATAAAGAGCACATGATACAATTTTCAGGCCCTCTGGTTTTATGATTCTTATTCTCCAGAAATTTTTTTCTATTTTAAAAATAAGAGCAATATTTAAAACTTTGCATAATGTGGAATATTGTGTGTTTTTCAAGATTAACTTAAAAACAAATTTTCTTGAACATATACCGTTTGTCTTAGCATTTTTAAATGGTCTAAATACATGAATACACATCCAGACTCAAGTATATTGATTGTATAGATTTATTCAAAACAACTTTCACTTAATTCACTGTAATTTTAGTACCTGTGTAAATGAGCAATGTTGTATCTCAAACAAAAACATTAATTCTATTTTATAGATATAATTTTTATGTAAAGAATGATACAACTACCCTGCCACAAAAAGATTTTGGCTTTGAGTTATTTTTCCAGTAATAAGTGTACGGTCATCTAGCCCTATTGTCACCTGGCCACCAGTGATTAACAGCTTGAAATTCTGATATAGGTCCTCAGGTTGGTACAGTTGTAGATTTTTTTTTCTTTTTGTACTGCTTTGTGTTAATTGTTGGAAAATTGAAGACTGTGGAGTCTGTGATCTTGACCTAATTTGTACCCTAGAGAAATGAGAGAATTCTGCCTATTGTGTGTATAACATGGACACAAATGGAAGAATGTATTAATGTAATAGTAATAACACCGTTCTTTGTCCTTAATGCATTCTTTTAAAAATTCTAGGCATTTTGCAAATAAATACCTTTATTATATTCTAACCACTACAGCCTTCTCTTCATAAAAAGAAGGAAGAGTTACTGAGTTAATTACTTACCTAGTATTAAGGTGATGGGAAGTGAAAATGGACTTAAGAATTTTTATTTCTACTTTAAAACCTGTTTTCATTCCAGAACTGTTAAATTCAAATCTTTGCTTTTTCTCATCTTGTATCCCTATTACATAATAGGTACTATATAAATTTATGCTAATATTATTATTTTTCTTTCTAGTGGTGCCAGAATCAACTGAAAACATTTGGATCCATAATGGTGTTAAATGTGTCAGAACTGCATTTTTCTCAGACATATATCTTACCTTATGTTTTGTAAAATCCATATTGTCTTCTATCTGGAATTATGTTTGAACATGGACTGATCAGGAATGAATGACACTAGATTCAAGTGATACAAATAAATGACTTAAATTCTAGGACCACCGAACTAACGGCCAAACAGTATCAGTAAGTGGTGTGGTCTGTGTGTGGGTGTACATGCATGCATATTTATATATTTATCATTATATATACATACGTATATCCAGTTGTCTTCCTCTAAACCCCAAAGGCAGATAGAAACAAAGTTCAAGGTGATAGTAATCACAAATCTCTCACAATACTCGGTAACAAGGGAACTTTGAGTAATAGAAGGGGATCTCCTATTCTATAAATGGAATTTTTAGGAATTCCCCAACCCCTTCCACTCTCCTACTAGCAAGCAGGGATGTGTTCTCCCCGCTAACCCCTATATTTACTGTTAGGGTTATACCGTCTTCAAGGGAATTCCCCCTTATGCTTACCAGGGGAACCCCTCAAGAATGGGGCATCCCCAACCAATTTGTCCCCTAATTTCACTTTAGCCTAAGTAAAACTGATGTAGGTTACACTTGGTAGTGTCTCACCATAACTCTGTGAGGGGGCTTAGCTGCCATACCTGGCTTAGCTGATCTTTGATGGTCAAACCTAACTGCTACTGCCTTGGTAGAGATACTTTGCCTCTGTCAATATTTTGCCTCTTGAGGTTCTAGGGACAATGGCCTATAATCCTGTCTGTGGGATTGACATGGGTCATCCACCAGAAGTACATGAGGTAGGGACTTTTTTTTTTTTTTTTTTTTTTTAAATAGAGATGGGGTCTCATTCTTGCTCAGGCTGGTCTCAAACTCCTGACCTTGAGTGATCCTCCTGCCTGGGCCTCCCGGAGTGCTAGGATTACAGACGTGAGCCACCTCGCCGGCCTGAGATAGGGACTGTCTTACACTTTCCACCACCTTCCCACCCCAGGCCCAGCCTGGCATATAGTAGGCAATTAGTAAATGTTGAATAATTTACCATGTCTTCCCTTGCAATGTATTTTGGTAAGCAACCTTTTCTTCTCTCTTTTTTTCCTTGGGTAAGTAAAAAATATTCTTTTTAAAGGCGTTGTTAATGTTTCCATTGCATTTATATTCAAAGCAATAATAATCATAGTTAAATATAAATAATATTGTTATTAGTGCCATTTTCTGTGTAGCTTACAGTGAATTTAGTTTGTACAACCTCCCTGTGATTTAAATCAAGGTAGATACTATTATCCTTACTTACCAGATGAGGAAACTCAGCTATAAAAAAGATAACCAATTTGCTTGACTTTATTGAATGAAGCAGAAGTTTGTAAGGTTATAGATAAGGATGATAACCTCCAGTCGAAGTCACCCTTAGGTACTGAAGTACGCATGATACACTTTAACAATGTTATATCTGTGTAATTTTAAGCTACACTAAATTTTAAACTTTCTTGTTCAAATATGTTCATAGGAGAAAAGAAAAAGAAGAAAGATCACCATTTATTTCCAGTACCCAGAATTAACCACTATTGTGTAAATATAGTCTTTTTCTGTGCCTAGCTAAAATTGGTTTTTGGTGTTTATAAGTTGGATCCTAGCACATTTGTGCTTTTAGTTATTACTATTTTTTAATATCACTAAATTTTTTCAGTATCATTTTAATTACTATGGATATAACATAATTGATTTAACCAGTATTCCATTGTTGAACTTTTCATTGTTCACAGGTGATTTTTTTTGCCACTATAAATAATACTTTAGTGAATATCCTTGAAAGTAAAGCCTGCTATAAATTTTTCTTTTTCTTTTTTTTTAATTTCTTTTTTTTTTGTAGAAATGGGGTCTCCCTATATTGCCCAGGCTAGTCTTGAACTCCTAGCCTCAAGCATCCTCCTCCCTCAGCCTCTCAAAGTGCTGGGATTACATGTGTGTACCACTGTGTCCGGCCTAAATATTTTTAGGATGAATTCTCAAAGGGGAATTTCTGGCAAAGTGAGTGAAC